AAATATTTTAAATACCTTTTATGATTGTCATAGTTGCTGCTTCAGTCCTGTAGTGTTCCCATAGAATGGGGGAAGGGTTCAGCGTGAGAGAATTGAAATGGTACTCGTATTTCTTTTAGGATAATATGTTAATTTTACTTTGCATTGTTTAAAAAAAGAAACATCAGTTGTTCATTTGTTCTGGTTTGGGTTTCTGTGTTTAAAGAAAACCCCAAGCCCACCAGAACTTGCAGTGTTGGGAATGACACAACCCCACCCCCTCATCCGTCTATCTGATATTTTGACGATAAAACCAGATACAGTGAGAAAGTAATTACAGGTTGTTTTTGGAGACAAAGAGGAATGCTTTAACGGGGACACTGAAACTTGATAATTTAGTGGTGTTGCTCTCTCGCGTGGAGTGTCTCTATTTCAGAAAGTGAAGTATCTCATCACCCTGCACCTTTCCAGTTTTTGGTTTCCGCCTCTATGCAGTTGGGTGAGTTAGCAAAACAAGTAAACACCGGTCACCAAAGCCACTAGGACAAAGTTAAATCTGTTCTGAGTTCCTGAAGATACCTGACCTGGATTTACCGCATACAGAAACTTCTTCGTGTTCCAGTGAAACTCCTCCTCTTTCCTGAGGAGATTTATCACGAAGTCACTCAGCTTTTTCTGGAATGCTGTAGTTGTTTGAAATGTTTCTCAGTCGTCGTGTTGTGTATCTTTATGTATAAATTCAGATTTTATATTCTGTATTAATCATTTACGTGCAAGTTGTTCAGAACTAAAAGTTCTGATTGTCAGTTCAAGAGAGAGGAATTATCTTGTGTGGTGTAAGGGTGAGTAAAGAGAGAAGAGATTCTCTTTGGTTGCTGAAGCATCAGACGTTTGAAAACAGAAAAATTACTGATTTCACAAGAAAACTATTTTGTCCACAGCTCTCTTCAGCTGGTTGGATTTAATAGGTGGTGAGTATATTCTTAGCATTAGAATAGTGCTTGAACTCCTTGTATCATTAGAATCACTGTTAAAAGGTGTCCCTGTCTGAACTTAGCTGTTTTAAAGTTGTGTTGGTTTGGGGTTTGTTTGTTTGTTTGTTTGTTTTTAATCTGCCATTTAAAAAATGCCAAAAAACCATGTGCTTGAGCAAAAAAAAGTCAGGAGTTCAATTTTTGATTAATCACAGCATATCTGACTGTTAGTTGTAGTTTTTGGCAAATGGCCTTTTAAGAGTTATTTTATTGGGCAGTACCGTTCCAGACCAAAGGTCAGGGTCATAATACTCATAATATCTGGTGAGTCATAGATTTGTCCTGGAATCCAATTCTGGAAGACATTTATAGGACATTGCCAGTGTCTCATCCACTGGAAGGTATGACAGCTGGGGGAGAAAATGTACTCGCCTGCCCTTTTTCAGCTGGGTTCGTTGCCCTCTTGCATGCTGTGAATCAGGGTTATGCTTTTGGGCATTGTAATGTGTTGTCCAATAAAATGCTCTTAAGTTGTAAACTGGTTTCTGTGAGCCTTTGGGAAAGCATCTCATTAATAAGGGAAGATTTTTATTATGCCAGATATTAATTTCATTACCCTCAATCGTGAACAGAATCTTTTGTGATGTTTGTGAGCCTCTTGGTCTTAAATATTTCTTTGCTGGATGAGGCCCCTGTTTCAGTCTATCAACGAGCAGTAGGTCATCCCTGGCACTGGCCCATGCAAAATGCTTCAGAGGCAGTGACAGTCCGTGCAGTAAGCAAATGTGGGATAATGTGATGCTCCCAAAATTCTCAGTCTTAATTCCAAAACTGTTGATTTAAGCCCAGAAGCAACGATGGTGGGTTTGTTTAGTTTCCATGCAATGTGTGGTATCGATTGTTGTTGTACCTTTAGCTCTAGTAGTGGTGGTCCTGTCCCCATCCAGTCGAGGTAACCCAAATCCTTGCACCTTCTAGGTGCGTAGGCAGCTTAACTGGTGTTCTCAGCACTAGCCAGAGCTACGGCCCTTCTGCATAGTCTGTGTTGAAATGAAATCCTTTGGAGGATCTGTTTTTCCCTGCCAAATTAATCTTCTTGCAGTTCCAGTGAGTGATTGAGGGAGGAGAAGATGGGGAAGAGGAAGGGAAGAGCCTGGGTGGCAGTGCTCTGAGTTTTTAGTTCTGTCTTTCTCAGGAATACCTTCTGTGCCTCGCCAGTTTGAGAAGAGCTTGCCGACATAACTGTCCGTTTCATTTTTGTACCTTCCCAAATTCTTGATCTGAATAAGACCAAATGCCACCAGTTACTGATGGTACATGTAAAAATATTTTTCTTTGTGAGTTTTGAATTTACCAATGCTCCTTTTCTTTGGATGGTCTCTGTGGTGAGTTGGGTTTTTTCCCCCTCTTATGATAAAGGGAAAAAACCCTCCCATCTGTGTTTTCTAAGGTTAGATATCTATTATTTCTGTACACCTATAATGACCCTTCATATTTATCTCTGCTCTTAAATATCAGTCTCAGTTGGTGCAGGTTCCTGTCACTTCTTCACTATCCTCTGTCCCTCATTCTTCTCTCTGCCGTTTTCTTGACCCCTGCAGTTCTCTAACACCCTGTTCAGAGAGGCTGTCCAGAAGAATAAAGAATGCAGAGAGATCTTACATGCAGAAAAAGGAAATCAAATTCACTAGCATTTGAATGCTTGTTCTCATCCTTAATTGGAGCGTACTTGGTTCAGCACTGTCCGCAAAAGTGTGTTGAATAGAGAAAGCTGGAGCACATTTTATAAAATTAAGGATGCTTATAAAATAGTCTGATTCTTCTGTCAGTTTTCAAAATTCTCTTCTGTTATGTGGGCAAAAATAATGCCACTTGGAAAGCATTAAGTTAATTGCATTTCAAATAGTCTCTTAGAGGATCAAGCCCTTGGATTCACCTGCAGTTTTCTGAGGCTTTTCTGTAGCATTTTCCTGTTTTCTAGTATATTCTCTCCTCTTGTGTAAAGAGTGTTTCAGCAGCATAGGAAACTAACACACAGCACTATTAGATATGTCAACTGATTAAGTGAAAAATATCTACCAAGAGTGATATAAGCTGTTATCTTTAACAGAGCAAATGCATGGTTTTAAAATTGAAATATATTTTTCAGTTGATATTCCTTTTACAGTTAACTTAACAAGGTACCCAAGCTTTTGAAGTAGAATTGGTCCTACTAATCATTAATAGGAAAAGAATTATCGAATGTAATCACTGAAGATATGTAAATGTCAGGGAATATGAATGTCTAGTTAAAGTTTGAGGAAATGTTTATAGATTACTGTATTACACAATTCTAGATGAATGAAGTGGCTTTCAAGAGAAGAGGCGATGTCGCGGGGCCGCGTGGCGGGGCAGTGGCTGTATGAACACTTCCCTCCATCTGTGTGCCTGCTCTGCCCTGAAGGGAACCCATCTGTAAGCTAGACTTGAATCCAACCCAGCCTGACGTCACGGAGAATTTTTTTCTGTTTCCTTTTGTGTGGTGATTTTTGTCCTACAGTTCGCTCCTTTGTCTTGGGAGGAAAGGGGTTTCCATTGTCAACTAGTTGTTTGTTGTTGTGGCTTGTCTTTTAACAAGCTCTTCATTTTCTGGTGATAGATGGAGGCCGTATCAGTGCTGAAATAATATATTTGTTACCCTCTACATAGTTTTAGCAAGCGACTAATTTTGATACTTTTTTATCATACATTTGCAGAGGCACATACATTTGAAATTAGATATAGTGCCTTTTGTTTTGTTGCATGGGGTACAGTATTGGTAGAAATATCACGAATTAGAGAGAAGTTACAGGAGGTGATTATTTTTGTGGAATTTTTTTGTGTGGCAGGCACTCAAAGTACCCTTCTGCTCTTATTATTCTTCTCTTATTTCCAACACTTGTGGAAGTTGCGTAACATGTAAGCATCCTTTGCGTCTGTGCACTCAGTCTTTCTCTCAGTCTTGTTTTTATATCTTTATTAATTTATTTGTGTTTAAGGCCAAGTAAGCATTTTGCTCCTGTTCTCAGAGTTTTACTGTAATTATGGAAAACACTTAAAAGTGAGCATTTCTCTACATTAGCCAGGACCCTTAAAGCAGATCACCAGTCTTGGCGCCAGGCGTGGGTGATAGTTCTGTTTGGGTGAAGAGACCTTAAACAGTTTTTTCTCTGTGCTTTAAAAATAAACAGGATTTTCTCTAGCAGATGTGGTGTTCATCTTCCCAGTTTTGTTCTATTTCTCTTTTAACAGGCATGCCTGAAATATATCAGAAGAAACAAATCCTGGTTTCCTTTACTGTCTGAGTTGCTGGTGTCCTGCTTCTGCTTTTGATGAAGGATCTTATTTTATAGATGGGCAGAAAGACTGTAGAAAATATTTGACGCTACCAGTTGTCATCCTGTTTTCTCAAGCAGTAGTTATTATAAGGAAAAAAAGAGATTGGATGTTACTGTATTATTAATGGGTTTAGGCCTTTTGGGTGAGAGAGGGCTGCTTTAGTTCCTTTATCTGGAAACATTTCCTTTGTGAAGCTAGAAAGGTGGTAATGCTCTGATGGTGATAATGCTCTGATGAATCTGTGGTGCGTTTTGAACTTTACCGTAGTTACTTCAGCTCCTACTAATACTCTGTGCAGAAAGGCAGCTATTCCTATGGAGCCAAAAAAATTGTTGCCTTCTTGAATGGTACCAATTTTGAATTGTGAGACATGGAAATAACCTTTGCAAAGATGAGGAAAGCAGTGCTCTGGTTGAGTGGAGATTAGGCATAACACTGTTAGTGCATTCAGTAGTATCTCTTTGTGCTTGCATGTGTGAATTGCATTATCAATGATTCTGAGTCTTACTGAAAAAGCTTGAGTATTTGGCATAAAATCAAGCACAGAACATGCACAACAAGTTTGCTAGCTGAAACACCTGAGCTTACTTGCATCTCTTCCAAAATTAAGATCTTCTATGTGCCACTCTTCCTTTCCCTAGATGGGAATGACAAGAATAATTTAAGGCTTTGTTTATGTGTGTGTTTCAGATTGTGCAGTGAATGTCCATAAGAACTGCAAGAGTTTACTGGCTGAATGCAGCAGCATCAGACCCAAGGTGGGTTTTAAAATTTGTTCTTCTTTTATAATAACAGTGCTTGACATAGTAAGTTTAATTTAGTGCGAGCGTTTTAATTTACATCCGTACAGAGTCGTGCCCCACATCTTCAAGACATCAAAAAGTTATTAATTTGTCACTGTAGTAATTTATGACAATGTATATAGGGAAAAAAAAGTGAAACATTTTATTGCTGTACTGAAAATTACTTACCATTGCTTGTGTCTGTCAGAACCGTGACTAACCCTTATAAGAATGCTCATCACTCTTTTTGGGAACATAATTGAGTTGTATGGTACCACTGAATTTTATGCCGCTGTATTTTAATAGGTTGTGCCATCTCAAAGCTGATGGAAGAGTGTGAGGGGTGGAGGGGAATTTGGTTATAACAGTTACGTATTATTTATAAGCTGAGCAATGCAGAATAAGCGATTTCATTTTTGAACTGTGATGAACTTTATACCTTGCTAAGCTGTTCATTTTTTATCTGTGTCACCGTGGTGCCTGTGATTGCATGTAAGGTCACAGGTTGGTTTCAGGTAGCTGTCTATCTGTCGGTCTTTTTATTCTGGTATTGGTTTTGAAAATCATTTCTTCCTCCTTATAACTAATTATACTTGAGGGAGTTTTAGTTTGTTTTAACCTGCAAGTGTTGATGATTTCAGAGACTGATAGCAGATTAGGGAGTACTATGAGGGGGAAAAGAGAGAGCAGAACAGCTCAAACCTGGGCAATTAGAGAAAGTGCTTTCAACTGTTGGTGATTTAGAATGTAACTCTTCTGAGGGCAGAAATGTTCTCGTGCGGTTTTTGATATATACTTCTAAACTTATCGAGGCGTTGTGCATTTTCCTTTTAAACCTAAAAATTCACTTGCTCTGATGCTTTCATTTCCACTCTTTACCGTCTCCCAAACTTTCATGGTTGAATCAGCCCTTACAAACCCCTCCTGAAGAGAGCAAAGAGGGAGCGGTAGCACAAAATGATATGGGGAATGAAGTCAGAAATGAGATCCTCAAAGTGAAGCAAGACTCCCCAAAAGCCATTTGTTACAGACTGTATTACTTATTTAATTTCTTGGCATCTTAGATAAATTGTATCTCAATGAATTGTAATATCCTAGCGTTGTAAGAACGAGAAAGTTGTGCAGATGACCAAAGATGCAATTTAAAATGGGCAGTCTAAATTTTGGTTGAAACTGGCTGGGTTAGTTTAGTTAGTATTGCTGTAAACGAAATGGCAAAAAAGTGTAGGTGAAGACTGTCTACATAAAGGGTTTGCTTTCATTTAATAAATTATTTATGATCATAGCTTTAATTCAGCTGTAACTTCATTTTTGGTTTTATTTCAGTCTGGTTTATACTTGATGGGATTTTTATACAAAGTGTTAATGTCTATATGGAATGTGAAAAAATCAAAACTGTTACTGTGTCAAATCTTTTATACTTTCAGTATACAGCTTCACTTACAGTTAGTGCTATATGATAGGAAAAATATGATTCATTTTGGACTGAAAGTTTGGTCTGTATGTGTAAGAATATTGTATTTTTTCCTATAGCAGAAAGATTTGCAGCACAGACCTTCTGGATCTCCACAAAGTTCGCCCCAGTGCATTTCCCCAGGTTTGTACTAAAGAATGATTTCTGTGCTCAAGGCTTATCTGTTCGATTGTATTTTTTTCTTTAATATGTTTTAAAGGCTATACACAGTGTGTTATTGAAGTATAGAAAAGGTCTCTTTTAATAAGATGGCTTCATTTTTTTTTCTATTGGGAATGGCTTAGAGGCTCCTAGCAATCTCCTGTGTGTTTTTATCTTTTTATCTTTTTATTTTTCTTTATACCTTCTTGCTGTGTAACCTCAAAATATCATGGTGAAAAGGGATCAATAAGCTAGATTTTCATTGATTGTCTATTCTCTGGCCTCTGAAAAGACTAGAACTGTGAACTTTGTTTTACATCAGATTTTCATAATTGTCTATTTAAAACTTGGCTGCAGCTAGTGGTTGCTAGAAATCTCTAAGACAAGCTAGCACTAATGGTCTGAACATAAATCTTTGTTGAAACAAAGTGGGAAAAGGGATATGGGAGAAAAAAACAAGGAAGAAAGAACAGCTCTATTGCAGCATAGGCTTTGAAATAGCTTTTTGCTACTGGAAAAGACCATTGCGGCCACAGGTGTATGATTTAAATGGCATTTTAATTTGTAGACGTTAGGAGGTCTGCATTAACAGGACAGGCTTCTTGGCTCTCAGATGATTGACCGTGACTAGAGCAGAATTATTTTCTGCCTTGCAGTTGGTCCGTTTGGTTGCTTTGATGGCTGTAAGAAATACAGTTGACATGAATGACCGATATTACTATGTGTGTTTCATGGTTTTGTTAGGTATCATTTGACTTGCATTGCAAGGTGTACTTCTTTATGAAATGATTCTTACCAAGAGGTAGCGCAAAGGGAATAACTGTTATAAGAAGGCAAGCGGTTCTTTGCATTAGCAAGAATGTTTTTGTGCATTTAGGGGAAAGTGCAGAGGCTAAAATAGGAAACAATAAGGAATAATGAAAATGGGAAAAGTTGGCTGTAGGGCTTGTCGTTGAAACAGCTCTGTGGTATACAGTCTGGTCTGGTGTGGTAGGTTAACAGCGATCGATACGGACTCTCAGCAGTGTGCAGACAGTGCTAATTGAACTCAGAAAATGGCTTTTTGTTGGTGCAGACTCTGCTAGGCAGCCAGTACTTATTTTCCATAGTCAAAAGCAGAAGCTGGAAGTTAAAGGAACAGCTAATAGCATGGGCATCGTATGTCTTTACCCACAGTATAAGACTGCAGACTGCAGTGCCCAGCAAAAAAAGCCAAAGGTATTGTATCAACATAAAAGAGAAATACATTTTAAGAAAGGTATGAACTGTGTTGGTTGTGTCCCCCCATCCCTCTCCCCATGTTTTGCCTCTGGAGATTTTTAGATTTGGCCTACCATCGTGAAACAGAACTTTATGTTCTTGGCTTGTGGAGCACAGAAAGAGAACTTGATGGCTGCTGATTTCAGTACTTCCCCAGATGGAAACGGGAGGGCATTTATTATTAAGCCTTTGTTTAAGAAATCCGCCTTTACAAATCTTGCTAATACCTACTTAGTCTCCTCTTTTGGGACAACGGGCTTGGAGCTCATCACTTGGAGACGATGGAAGAGGACTCAGTTTACCCAGTTTGCTGTAGACTGAGAATGTGCTGCATGTGTAGCCAAGAGATTTCAAACCCAAACAGGTATTGGGAAAGGTATTTCCAGCAGGAAAAGATGTGGTGATATAATTTCTATTAAATGTCATTGATGAATCCTCCCCTGCAGCCCTAATATGATTCTAGTCAACTGTTTCACGGAAGGTGAAATGAGAGACAAGCAGATGTAGAGTATGGGATATCAAGAAATGTGGAAAAACCTGTTTTATGAGAAGAAACACGAATACCTTGATTTAGCTGCGTTTGGTTGAGCAAGGCAGAAGTGGAGGGAGAGATGATTGTTAGTGGAGGTACGCCGAGGAGTGCAGACTAAGAAAGGGGAGCTTTTGGGGATGGGTAGACACCAGTGTTTTTACAAGAAAAGTTGTAAATTGGCGATGCATAAACCTTGTCTGGGAACCAGACCTTCTTGAACGGCTACAACAGCATGGTCCTGAAGCAGCCTCCCAGCCACAGTACTGGAAGAGGAGTTCGGTCTGGGTGTAAGACAAAGCTTCCTTGCAGTGGCAGAGTCCTGGGTTCAAGGATCCACGAGATCTCTTCCACTCCCATGTCCTTAAAAGCACTTTGAAAAAAGGGCAGCTGCAGACCTTGTCAGTGATAAGTTTTAAAGATTTTGTAGCTGATTCTTCATCTTCGACTTCCCTGAAGTTCCTTTTTTGAAAGGATGTATTTTGTCTCCTGTTCCTTATCATTCATTACAGATATTAGCGCTAAATAATTGTATCCATTTTTTATAAGTCTATTACAGGTTTCCATGTATTGTGTAATAGTGATTAAAGTTTTAAATATCTTTCCAGTTCACAGTCTGTCTAGATTTAAAAAGCATTAAAAAGCTGCAGTATTAAAATTAAATTTAGCTCTGGTATCTGTTACGTAGAGTGTGTGTGCATGCAGATATAAATCACTGTGTAGCAATAAGCATTGCAAAGAACTTGTGGTTTTTATGTGATCTCAGATTTTTCTTGTTTGCCATGAAATGTTCTGTGCCCTTATAAGGTAGGGTGTGAATAATTGTGTGTAGGTTCTGGTGTTTTACTAAAGGAGAAGATACTTTGCAATTTCCACACTAAATGGGCACAGTAGGGACCAATTTCCTGCACTTCAGACCTGCTGATTTAGCCAATACAGTAAGTTAAGTGGCAGCTTTACATTTCTAGAAGGATCACAGGTAGTATAAAAACAGCGCATCTCTGGGGCCACTTTACTGTGCCAAGTCTGAGGGCAGCCAGTAGTGAGCATGGGGAATACAAATTCAAAAAGCAGTGGCAGAAGCAATACAATTCCAGCTCATCCTGAGCTGTCTTTTTGTGGTTCCTTTTCACGAAAATGGAATGAGAATGTTTTTTTGGACAATGAGCTCTTGACATCCAAGATCCTGTCTGTTCTCCGTCCGCATTCAGAGAGAGGTTTGAGAGCAGGCGATCTGCAGTGTACGCCTCATTTTCTGAGTACCAATTCAATTTTTGCCTCTCTAGCCGCTTCTTTGAAGGAGCAGCCCCGAAGTCTTCTCCTGGGACCGGATGGCACCCCAGTACTATCACGGAATCTCGGTATGACTATCGCCCAAAGAGGAAATTCTCAGTCTTCACTGAATACTGCTGGAGCTGTTAATAAATTTGGGTAAGTAAACTGCTTCTCTTCTAATTCACTAGCTTCTGCTGCCCCCCACCCACTCCCCCCCAGTGTGAAAAGAGAAACAATTACAGAACTAAAGCAAGAACTCACATTTGCTTTCAAGCTCGAAAGAGATTTATTGAGCTTTTAATGCGGAAATTCATCTCCCTGAACAGTAAGCTATGGGTTTTTTTGCTTAAATCACCTTGTCTTTAGTCCCTCTGTACTATGTCACAAAAGGTATCATATAAAATAGGGCCGTATTTGAGTATCTCTGTCCAGATTGTGGTTTTCATGGGTATATTTGTCTTCAGACTTGTTGAAATTCAGTAATCTCTTCTGAGTTCAGTTATTCTAGGTTGTGCTAGTTCTGACTAGTGTAGGGGACAGCAGTGTTTTAAATTGCAGGATACCTTGATTAAAATAGTAGACGAATTCCAAGCTATCTGCTGTTTTAAGTAGTTGTTTACTTTTTATGTGCCACAGTTACACTCCCTTCTCAGTGAAAATGCCCTTTGTACTCTGAACTGGCTGTGGCTTGTCACTAGGTGATGTCTTTTAAAATGTCATATCAGAAGTCACATACTTGCTCATGCTGCTCTAATTAAAACTGTAATATTTCAGTCACGGAGTTGCTAAATTGATTTGACTGTTTAAAGTTGGGGTGCAATGATAGCTTTTATATATTTATTTTAAGTTAATTGCACTATAGTTTAGGAAAGATGCATGTTAAAGTAGTTGGATTTTGGGGGGTTTTTTTGTCAAGCAACTTAAAAAAATGTTAATGTTCTGTTTTGGTCTCTTGGTCTAATTTCTTTGGCCATTTAGGCTAATTTCAGGAGACATGGATGAAGGGGATTCAGGCTTTATAAAATTTAAGCAGACTTCAGATGATGTTGTCTCACTTGCACCTTCAACAGCAGACTCCATTTTTCTGGAAGGTATGGAATTTCTGTGCTTTTCAGGATTTTTATGCAATTTCTTACACGGTCTTAAGGCAGCACTGAGATGTTTTTACTCTTGTTGTTGTTAATGATGGTAATGAGGGATATGGTGGGAAACAATTTAATAATAATTGAAATTGAATGTGCTTTTGGTCTAGATGCATATTCTGTATCCCTCCGAAGTGAAATAGAAACAGATGCTCATGAGTTTGAGGCAGAGTCTTGGAGTGTTGCAGTGGAACAGCCTTATGCAAAAAGGCAAAAGAAAGACGTTATAAAAAGGCAAGATGTCATTTATGGTAAGCCTATTCGTTATTCTTATAACTCTTCCTATTTTATATTCCTATCCACTGATTTGAAACAAAGCAGAAATCATTTTTGTTGGCTCCCATTTTGACTTGTGCTTGAAAACTAAAATTGAGTGAAGACTTTCAAGTCTATTACCTGTCTTAGTGTGCATAAGTCCTCCTATTAACGATTTTAAGCAACGCATAGTTTTCAGTATGCCTGTGTAAGCAGCAAAGCCCAGCTATACAATTAGGGAATAGCTCAACTGCAACTGGGAGATGTCGTTAAATAAGTAGGGTCAGTCACTGTTTGGTTGGGAGATTAAACAGGGCAAATTTAGGAGCTTCACGTCAGCGATGCAAAGATTGCGGTGAAGAAGGTGGTGGTGCAAAAGATGGTGGCTTTCGGAGCCTGCTCTTTTATATCTCACTAGTCACTGCACAGCACACAAATGACTTCTGTTTGTTTTTGTGTGGTTTTTTTTTTTTTATTTCCCCTTGCCCAGAACTAATGCAGACTGAAATGCACCATGTTAGGACACTGAAAATAATGCTGAAGGTATACTCCAAAGCCATGAGAGAGGAACTGCAGTTCCCAAATGCAGTCATCAACAAGCTCTTCCCCTGTGTGGATGAGCTGCTGGAGATGCATGGGCAATTTCTGCTCCAATTAAAGGAGCGACGAAAGGAATCCTTGGAAGAAGGCAGTGACCGAAATTATACAATCCAGAACATTGGAGACCTCTTGGTAAAACAGGTGTGAATTAAATTCTACCAATGTTGTTGACACTGTTAAATTTCTAAAAAGCTAACTGTAAGGTTAAAGTTATGTTATGTAAAGATTGATTTAATACCAGGTATAAGATTATCTTCCCAGTGTAATGTGTGAGCGTGACTCTCAGGAACATATCTGGTCACAAATAATAGGAAATGTTCATTAAATGTTCTTTGGGCATGTGCTTATGCATGTTGTGGGATATGCAACTACAGATGGTTTGCTTCTATTTTTCATCTGTTCCAAAAGTGAAGTAACATATTGCTGGTGTCCATCCCAAACGTGGCTCTCCTGCATTTAATGCCAGGCTTCTTGGTTCTGACCTTTTAAAAATGCAGTAAAGATCCTTTGAACTCATTACAGCTTTAGCACCCGTTCTGGTATGGATTTAATACAATTTCTTTCATACATCGTGACCAGTTTTTGCCCTTCACCTTTTACAGTCCTCAGTCTTTTTAAGTGCAGAGGCCCAGAAATCCTTTTTAAACTTCTCATAATGACAACCATCATTTAATATTTGGTTATCTTGTGGTATTCCAAGCTCTCAGATGTCACACTGCATAAATCTCTCATTTCTGGTACAGAAGAAATTGAAATATTGAAGAAATGTCTCAGAAATCAGTTACCATAAAACCATGTTAAACCTGAGTCTTGCAGTGGAGGTAGGTTTACTCTTAATGAGTCATGTTTTTCATTCTTATATTTCCAATTAGTTTTCAGGTGAAAATGGGGAGAGAATGAAAGAAAAATACGGTGTGTTCTGTTGTGGACACAATGAAGCTGTTAGTCACTATAAAGACCTGTTCCAAAGCAATAAGAAGTTCCAAAACTTAATAAAGGTAAACAACAACCAGAAGTCTCCCATTCTGACTGTGCAAAGTATACTTGACTGCTTTAGGTTTTATTTTGTACTTGAAGATCTCTTAAATTTGAATGAGCAGGGTTAGAGGCACGTTCTCGTTATTTGATGGGTTGTTAGCTTCTTGTATTTTAGATCTTTTGAGCTGTTTGGACACAAAGCCACAATTAGCAGGTGTTAATTTGAGGCAGGCTCTTGAGAGCACGTAGGGCTGGGGAACAGAGTATTTGTTCTGTTCATGGTTCTATCATTGACTGCCCTGCTGTGTGGCCGTCTTTGTAAATTGGCTTGATAATAAATTAAATCAATGATAAATGCTGTCGATGAACTGCTATAGAAAAAGCAGGTACTCTTAGTCAAGTTTTGCCCACTGCGTCATCTTTCCAAAACCAGAAGATTGGCTCCAGGGTGGTTTGTTTATCTGCTGTACACTGTAATGTGCAATTAATAGGAAGGGCTGAAGAGACACGGCCAAAGTGGAAGCCTGTAACCTGAATCTCAGATGGCATTGCACAGTCCTAAGTATTCTCATTTTCCAGTCATCAGTAAGTGATACTGTGTGAACTTTCCAACATAGTTCTATACTTATAGCTCTTCTTAACTAGGTGTCTTTAAAAGTGAGAACCCTTTACTTTCACGGAACTAAATAAGTGTCCAGAGTTTTAAAATATATAGCCTCAGTCCTTGTAAAGAAAGATCTCGGTACTGTATTCTGCTGTCAGGATTGTTCTGTACCTGCAGTCAGGCTAACTAGTGGGATTCTGATGCTTTACAGTCTTCCCTTTCTGAACAGAAATGTGTTTCTGTAGATCAGCCTACTGGTGAACATACAGTGGTAAAATAAGCACTTAGTTTACTCATTATTGGCCTAATTTGGCTGTTAGGTGGTTGGGTCTCATTTTAAAATATAGTAGTTTTCTATGTATGTAAGGACTGATCCTATTATAAAAGGCAATCAGTTAGCAAATAGGCAGTCAAACGGTTCACATTTGGGACTTTCTCTGCTTGGCTCCAGATTTAGTTAACAGTAGTTGAAAATAATACCGAAAATATTTTCCAGTAATAAAAGCAATTTTTTTGATGTTATCAGGAGTTTTGCTTTAGTAAAAGAGTGCAGCTAATCTTGTGGTGCTATGCCTAATTGTACAAAAATGTTTTGAGACAGAAAATGTGTGAATGGAGAGGCGAGGGAGTTAGAAGAGCAAAATATATACAATGGGTGTGATGAGTCTGTCTTGTTTTCTAGAAAATCAGCAACTGTTCCATTGTGAGGAGACTTGGTGTTCAGGAGTGTATCCTTCTAGTTACACAGCGCATCACCAAATATCCAGTCTTGGTGGAACGTATTATTCAGAATACAGAAGGTAGGTTGTTTAATCTTTCCTAGAAGCCTCACATTTGTCTGCTGATCCTTTTTTCTCCCGTGTTTTGCATGTTCTTTCCTCAGACAAGGAGGGACAGGCTGGTACTGCCTTATACCTGCTTTCTCACTTCTTTGTTAGCTGAAGATGCCGTTCTAGATGCAGATCCAGATCAGCCTCACCTCATCAGAGGGTCAAGAGCAGCATTCAGTTTCAAGTCTGCAACCACAAAACCATAGTAGTTAAGCCTGTCAGTTCATTAGAGATTTAGAGCTTTAGGATATTTTATTTTATTTCATTTTATTTTTAAACTTAAGCTCTTAGGAAATACCGTTAGATGTGCAGTATGGAACCTTCATGTTAAAATATGTTTGGGTGGCTCATATCTTGCATTCCAGAGTTGAAAATGTGACTGACTGCTACTCTTTTCTCTTAGCTGGAACTAGAGATTATGAAGAACTGACCCAGGCCCTTAGTTTAATTAAGGACACAATCACTCATGTAGATGCCATGGTAAATGAGTGCGAGAAGGGGCAGCGCCTTAAAGAGATTATGCATAAAATGGAGCTAAAATCCTCTGGGAAATGCAAGAATGGGCTTTTCTTCCGGAAGGATGACATGGGACAGAGGCGGCTTCTGCTGGATGGGTTGCTGTATTGGAAAGCTGCATCAGGGCGACTCAAAGGTAAAGGACCAGGAAGGGGAAAAGTACAACTAGGAAACAAGAATTTTTTTTTTAATTATTATTTATTTTTTTAGTAACTGTTTATTACTGATTGATTGAGTATAAAATAAGATGACAATAACCTGCTTGTTTAATAGGATATTGGAGAAAATAGCACTTGTTCTATTCTTGGCTTGTCCAATAAGCATCTCTATAACGGTGCATGATAAGTTCCTTCTGCTGTTTGCTTATTATCTGTCTGATCTGCTTTCCAATTCAAGAGGGAGGTCTTTAGATAGATGACAAAGCTTTGAGTCACACTGACGTAGTCTCCTGTGGAAAGGCATTATCTTGTGCGAGCTCTGGTTCACACTTTGAAAAATTGTATCGTGTCAACCCCATGACACCTTCATTCTGCATAATATCTGTTTTGCCAGAAAATCAAAACAGTGTCCATCGGTGAATATTTTAACAGCTTCATCGCTCAAGTGTTCAAGGAGAAGCTTCGATGGTACATAAAATGCAGCCAAGAGCAGGTGGTACTGTGAACGTCTGCAGTTCCAGAAGAATCTGCTGTTGAGGGAGACATGTTCCCTCGTGAGTGTTTGAGTCGATGTGTAGGGTGCCTATGTAGGTGTTTTCAAGCTTTAAATCAGCTCTATTTGTATTGTGCTGGTTCTGCACGACTGCAAGCTGTCTGTGGACAACCTAAGTGGAAGGCAGTAGCAGACCCAATATTGCAAATGCTGACGTGCTATTCCCTGACCCACAGGAAATTTAAGTCAAGTGATTTTTGAGTCTGGACCAGTCTTTGTGCTTTAAAATCTGCTTTTTTTTTTTTTTTTTTTTTCTTTTCTTTTTTTCTCTGTTGTTACTGTAGATATTCTGGCAGTCCTGTTAACTGATGTGCTCTTGCTCTTACAAGAAAAGGACCAAAAATATACGTTTGCATCAGTGGTAGGTATTGTTTTCCTCATTTAATACATTCACTTAGAGTATTTATGAAAGTGACAGTAACTACAGAAGAAATACAGTTAGAGATGTTAGATACTTGTTATGGTAGGTTCAGAAGGAAAATTAAGTTAATAAACCAGCCTGCTATTATAGAATCACATTTTCTGAAGCAGTTCTGGTATTTGTTGAATCCCTCCCACTGTCTCTTAGCGCAAAATCGTGTTCCCTTGCATCAGCCGGTTCGAGCTGCCACATCTGTAGTTTTCTGATGCCCTGAGCATGTTCTGAGGTTCACTGCTTCTCCTTTTCTTGTGCTGTGACTTTTCCTTTCACTGAACTTTGTTAGGCTGCTATTTTATACAAGTCATATATGTTAAACATGCTAGAACTGTGCTTTGAAAGGCACTTGCAAGTAAGGTCTGCTTCTGTTTGCTAATGTGAAGGGAAAGAATCTTCCATTTCAATTAGGGACATGATAACCATGGTCATAGTAGCCTAAGATTTACTGGGGGCAGAGAACTTTCCTGAAGGAAATGTAATAAGCACTAAATGCAAATGTAATTACTGCAGCACTCTCGAACACTCAGTGGATTCGCTTGCTTTTCTAGGGCATTTCCACAGGTATCCTCAGAGCAGTTAATTGTGTACATTTTGTCCTGATCTAGTTCAGTTATGGCTGTAATAGAACCAGTAACAGAGAAACTGTTTTATGTAATTGTTTTCTTGGATGTATTTTTTTTTCAAGACACTAACATTAGAGCTGAATTCTAATTGCGAAAGCTATTTTGGTGACCTCAGGGCTGTAAAAGCAACTGCTTTTCAAATTAACCATCTTCTAATGCACAGAATGGGGGTACTTTCACAAATCAACATGGTTGGAAGTTGCTTCCTCTTGAACAGCCTTAGGTGAATCTTTGAACAATAATTTATTTTATGACATTGATTCTGATAGACTAATTCTGCCCTGTTTTCCAAAACGCATCTGAGCTATGAGGAGAAGAGCAAGTTCATAGAGGGGGAAAAACATACTGTTAATGTACAGCGTCTCGACTGTTGTGGCAGGTTTCCATATGACTGCCGTTACTTTGAGGCAAGCGTGAGTAGTTTACATTGAGGCTAAAGCATTGTTCCCAAGAAGTAAGAGCATGCATACATGTTCTTAGTTATAGCTGTTCCACTGCAAGGTAATGCCCTGGTTTATATGTCCCCTAGTAACTTAACTTTTCTGTGAGCACATATCATACAGTCGCTTATGACAGTCCCCAAAAGCTGATCTCTGCTACATGGTGGATTTTTTCTTTCCCCTCCAGTAACATGCTCTGCAGTTATAGACTGATCAATTTTTTGCATCTTTGTGTGTATACAGTTCATCTGAAATTTAGATATCACTTCACCATAGATAAATCAAGCGAGAGGAGCAAAGAGATCTGCTCAGTGATTCTGTTTTTCCAGTGACCTCTGTTCATGGCTTGAATTGCAGTACAGCTGCTCAGAGAAGTTGGCAAAACCTAGTGTCTGTTTCACAGTTCAGTTTTCTTATCATCACTCTAGATTATGCTGTGAAGGTTCAGCAGTTACAAAGAGCTGTTTTCTTCTGGGGAGGATCTTTCTAGGCTACATATGTTGGACCTGTGCTGTGTGAAGCGTGGATAGGTTTTTAGTAACTAATATCCCTCCTGTAAATTTGTTTTCATTGCAAAGACTGACAGCTAATCCAGTTAATCCTCAGTTATACAATATGCTATCTGTCACCTTGTTTTGTTATTCACAGGGCCTGATGGCACCCTGTAACACCTCTGTGTTATGTTTTTATTTCTTTTGTAGCTAACTTGCCAACTTAGAACTTAAAACACTTCCTTTTGTTCTCTTCTTTCACTTCACATGTGTCATTAAGGTTTTTGTTTTCTTTTTCAAATTTTGTTTTTGTCTCTTTTTGAGCAAACTTTTTGAGCCCGTTCTTGACTTCTGGGACCCAGTGGGAATCCTCAGGTGTTTAAATTGATACATGCTTTAATATTCAATCAGGTACCAAGACCTCTTGTTTTTGGAATATACATTCTTCATTCTATGTTTTGATCTATGGTTGATGAGCAAAAAATGACAATGTCGAAAGTGTCATGTGAAGAGGCCATAGCAATAAAGTTAGTGTTGCCATGTTATGGCTCATGGTAGCCCTGTATAAGTAGCAAGACAGGGGGAGCTAGGAAACACAAACCCTAAAGAACGGATATAATGTAGTGCAATAAATTATATTTTGTTTTACAGGACTCTAAACCACCAGTTATCTCATTGCAAAAGTTGATTGTAAGAGAGGTAGCTAATGAGGAAAAGGCAATGTTCTTAATTAGCGCTTCCTTAAAAGGACCAGAAATGTATGAAATTCACACAAGCTCGAAAGAGGAGAGGAATTCCTGGATGGCACACATCCGCAGAGCTGTGGAAAGGTAAATTATGAGTGAAAGTCAGAGGGCTTGATTTCTTGCCCATCAGTCTTCCCTTTGCAGGACTCATAGGTGTAAATTTGCCGTAAAAATACATTTGACTGTTCCTAAACTTTCTTTGTAAGACTGAAGCATGCAATTCTGTTTGTGTTCGTTGGGTAGAAGCCACTCATAAAGATGCAATAAAAACCAGCCAAAGACTTTATTTTGCTTTTTTTTTTTTTTTAAATAAACAAAAAATTTGGTTCACTGATGTCAAATGCAACAGGGCTTTGGATAAGGGAGGAAGATTAACAAACAAGATAAACCACATCCTAGGCAAAAGCTTCAGGTTGAATCCTGAGATGGTTTTAAGTTATTTAATGCGCAAATCAAACATATGTCTGTCTCCCCCTTTGTACAGCTGTCCTGATGAAGAAGGAGGAACATTTAATGAACCTGAAGCAGAGAGGAGGCTGGCTGAAGCAAGAGCTGCTAAGTTAAAAGATTTTCAAGGTAATGACTTAGTTATGTATTCCACGAACTGCTTCTCAGCATCACTTTTGATTTTTGACTGTCTTGTTCTTTTATCACATGATGTGATCAAGTTTGTCCTTCATAATATTGCAAGATTATATAGAAATAGTTAAGTTAAATAAGTCTAAGAAGCTTTGTATGCTCCATGAGTTTTCCCCTTAACTGTTAATTGTGTCTCTGCATTTGATGCTCTGACCGTAAAATGAATAATAATCTTCCAAATTGAACATTGTACTCGGACAGTGATTAGGAAGGCAGAACTGAGTTTGTTTCTTCCTTTAGAGCGTTTGAACATGAAAGATGACCTGATTATGCAAAGTCTAACTGAGAAGCAACAGATTTATCTAGAAATGTCTGAAATGAATGGGTTTGAAGATCATTCCCAAGGATCCCGATCTAGGCTACTTCTTCGGGGGGATATCTCAGAAAATCTGCAAGGAGAGGCTATTTTGAAGTCCGCAGTGACAGAAGGTAAATGCAATTTGGGAATGTGTACGCATTCACTCAGATGCAGGGGTGGGGATAAGCACGTAGGATCTAAGTACAGATCCTGAAAATCATCCTGTAAAAACATAATACTTTTGTGTAACACTGTTCAGGCTTCTTATTCTCAGAACCAATCTGCAAGATAGGTAAAGTGCACCTGTGTTTTTAGGTAGAGGAACCTTCTCCACAGCTTGGATTTTTTTATTTTTAAGGATCAACCAGTGGAGTCTTAGGATGAGTCTATTCAGATGGGTAACTAAGTGCTCTAATAATACACCAATCCTGAAATACAATATTACATGAGGGTTATAGATTAAAATAGCCTGGATAGTATATTTAGAAAAAAAATAAGCACAAACATAATTTTTATTTTGGAAAAAAAGCACCAAACAAAAAAAACCCACTCAAGGCTTGATAATCTAACTTGCAATTAAGGAAGAGGTCATCTTTATATGTGCAATACGAAAGCCTGTCGTAAAGAGCTAGTCACAAAGGAAAATTCATCTGTACTGCAGGAAATCTTTCAAACTGCCCGATCTTTTCATGTACGTGATAGTTGAAATTTTTTTTTTAAACTTGTTAGCACTTGTCTTGCTGCGAAGACATGGCTGTTTACACGACATGTTCTCCTCTTTCCTAGCTGAAAATCTCCAGAACCTTATCTTCACTCACTTAGGCAATGGATCCTGTCAGTTTGAAGATGGTGCTGGGTCAGGACTCCCCAGGAGAGCAGAGACCTTCGGAGGATATGACAGTAGTCCTTCAATTTCAAATAAAAGTAAGAAAGGGACCATTCAGCATTCTTCTGAGCTTCTTAGCTCTTTACTGTGCTTCTCTGTACAGAGAATGAGATAAGAACAATGAATTAAGTGAGGCTCTGATATAAGGAAGCTTCACCAGGCTCTAAGAGGAGGATAAGAGCAAATTTCTAGCATGTGGTATTATCATGTTGCATCTTTTGCTTCCGATGCCAACACTAGAGAGCAGAATAGAGCTCTCAGTTGGTGTTATGCTAAGGGCATTACCTTAACCCATACTTTCTAATTACCACAATTCCACACAGAATCTTAATTATTTTTTTGAGGAGGGGGAAGCTTGACCTGAAAACCTAGGAAATTTGAATTCAGCTGCCTGTTTTTATTATTGAATCATGAAAACTTTTTTCCACTTTCTTTTGTATCTGCACAGTCACTAAAGGATTGCTGAATCCTTAGATAACATAAATTGTCCTTTTGGCACAGATGCTTTATCAGTTAATTAATGAAATAAGTGGAAATACTAGACACTATTTATCTCCATTTTTGCTTCATGCATTTATTGAAAAATAAAAAGGTGTTCATTTCACTGGTTGTTAATTTCTAGAATTCTTTCCCTTGTCTCTGAAAGACTATATGTCTGTCACACTATAGGTACTTTATACAGTATGGTTTCTATCTCCCCCTACCTCCTTCCATGCTTACAGTGGTGCTGCTTTGAACAGAACTTTTCTGCTAACAAGTATTCCATGTTATGAGCTTGCAATTCTGGTACCCACAGATGATAATTTTCATGCATACATTGTGGTTGCTTCACTTAAAATAGTATAACGTAACTTGAACTTACTCTCCCTGTTTATCTTAACCCACTCTCCTCAAGTTTTTACACTTTTTTGAGCAGTCCTACTTGTCACTGTTGTCTGCTCTTCCACTTTGAATCAGCATGGATAAGCCATACAGTTGCATATTGGTTCTAACTTCAAAGTCACAATTTTTTTCTGCTTGCTCTGTTATGCAGTGAGTTTTCACAGGCCCTGTGCCGGTGTGAGCTACTCATACTCCACTCTTCTTTCAGGTGGTACTTCTAGGAAGAACAGTGGTGGTGACCAGAGACAGTGGGACTGGAGGGGCCCTGCAGTAAGTTCAGATGTGCAACTCCATGACCTCCCTTCTGATGCAGAAGAAGGATCTCAAACCGTATGTTGGGCTTACGCATGATTTAAATGCATTTCCTCGTGTTCCTCCTCGTAATAGTGGTGCAGAACAAATTTCGCAACGTTAAAAGTCGTAATAGCTGGTAGGGCTAGACTGTAACAGAGTTCCGTCTGTCAAATTGCTAGACTCTATTAAGGATGTTTTGTCGGGTGAATTGATAGCTTAGCACTTGAGAGGCACGATCATTTGGTATTATATTTGTTCATTTGATGCGGTACCGTTAACGCTAGCTTTAATCACCGTGCATCTGTTTCAGCCTGGCCTCTGATTTAAGTATTTTTGATATGTGTCCTTCAGTCTATGGGAGCAATCTCTGCTCCAGCGGTAAATGCTGTTCCCTAATGAGATGAACCTTTCCAACTTGTTCTGGCAGCACTACCAATGCCCAACAAGTGACTCTAGCGCAGATGTTGGTTTTGTCTTTTTTACAGAGTGATGTAACAAGGCTGGATGACAGCAGTGCTTTTCAGCCCATCATAGTCGCTCAGGTATTGTTACTTCTGCTGTTAGGAAATCTAATGGCAAATAGCCATATTATAATAATAGCATGCAAAACCAAAACAAACAAACAAAAAACCACCAAAAAACTCAGTATTTTTAATGTCTTGTGGAACCACAAGCACATTAACGGCCTGTACCTTATGACTCTAACGCATTATGAATGCAGAGATTAAAGTCCCTTTAGAAAACAAAGATGGGTTCTGAGTATGCAGACACGCGTTTCAAAGAGCTGGCTAACTAACTACTTTTCCTGCATCTTTGGAGGGATTGCATGTTCTCAGCTCGCTGACAAAACTTGCCTCTGAGTCTCCCGTGACTGCTATACCTGTGTAGTGATTCAGTGCTGGAGCATGGGAGGAAGGGATCATTAAATAGCTCATGTGAAGAAAACTGATGATGAAGATTGCTCCCTGGAATCCCAGTGGGATTTGCTTGGCACCGATTTACAGCTGCGCGAGGACTAATACACTGAAATTCATCGTGCCTGCATAGTGCTCTATTGGCTATTACCGTGTTAGAGTACTCTTGTAGCTGTGCTTCCATTGTCTGTGGTTTTGTACAGATACCATTGATTGTGTTCACTGTTTAAAAAAAAAAAAAAAGTCTAATGCATCAAAACAGAGCTCTGTTCAAGTGTCTAATGTCTTTTTTCCTCCCCCTGCCTCCCCTCCTCTTCAGCTTGTCCAAAGGATACAAACGCTGTTACAGTTGCTCTTCAGTCTTCAGGTAAACCACTATTTACTATCCAAGAGGTTTGTTAGGCATTAAATGTAATAAAATTTATGCAGGTATGGAAAGGAGCTACCTTGAAAATATCCCCTAAAGCTAGAGTGAAGTGCAGAATTTAAGACCTGAGACTCAAGGAAACAAACACTGTGTCTGGTATTTTGAAGGAAGTGTTAGATCTGTTGTCTTAAGTAATTGTTTCCTTTTTCCTGCTCACTTAAATGCAATTCTTTTGCTGCTTTGAGCTCTGTCTGATCTCCGTGCTCATTTCTTCTTAAAATTGTTGTTGATATACACATGTGTGTATGAGTTGTTTTTACTGTAACCTTGTAATCAGCAATATTTTGACTGATTGGATTCAGAGTGCAAGAAATGTTAGTTTTGACACATGTAAGCATAACTTACTTGCTTAGCCATCTTCAGTATTGTGTCAGTCACAATGGGCTGTACAAGCTGGAAGTTAGATCTGCTCTTGAAGACAAAAGTATCTGTGATCTAATCTGGTAGATGCTGTTTGTCTTTTGTTTAGCTGAGCACGTTTTTTTGAACCCATGTGCCTTACGCTGAACTTTGTATTTCCCCTCCAGGCAGTGATATCTCAGCAGGACAGCTACATTGAGATGCAACGAGCCACCATGGTAGACCGGGAGAAGCAATACCGGCTGCAGTCTACACGAGGCAATCTGCTGCTAGAGCAGGAGAAACAGCGGAACTTTGAAAAACAGAGAGAAGAACTGATGAATGTACAGAAACTTCAGAGCCAGCTGAAGCTGGAGCAGCAACGCCTGGAACGGGAAAGGAGTCGGCAGCAGAGGGAATTTGAAAGCACAGAAGCCCGGCTGCAGGAGCGTGAAGAGGAGACTCGGCAGCTGAGAGAGAAGTTGAATCAGGAGAGGGAAGAACTCGAGAGGCAGCGAGAGGCCTATCAGCATGACCTAGAGAGGCTGCGGGAAGCTCAGAGAGCAGTCGAGAAAGAGAAGGAGCGTCTAGATCAGCTAAGGAAGCTGAAGAAGCAGAACACAGTGTCAGGCACGTTCTCCCCAGAAATGGGACAGGTGAGGAATGTGTTTTCTTGGAGTTTTATTTCTGTTAACCTGCTTGCCTCTGAATGAAGGTGGCCCTTTTTGCAGCACTAACCCATGTTTGCTTTTTACCGGGCTCCTTGAACCATCATCTGAAGTAGCTGATGATGGCTGCTGTCAGAGAGATCACAGCTTGGCAGTTCCCCAGTGTCTGTGAAATTCCACCCAGACATTTGGTAATGAGAATATTTAAAAAAAAAAAAAAAGAAAGAAATGGAGAATAAGTTATTTTTGAACATGGCTGACGGGATTTTTTTTTTTTTAATACAGGAACTGCCCTGTTGCAGGCAGGTGATTGCAGAAGGTGTGCTACATTGGTAGCATTTTGTACAGTTGATTTCTAAAAACATTTCTTATGTTTCAAAATGTGAATTTTGGGGTCTGATTAAATTGGCTCATTTGTTACTGTCTGAAAGTCCTGCTTTCTCTCCATCCTGTCATCACCTAGCACGGTCTGCTCTTGCGTTCCTTTGCTAGGTGCAATATTAAGCAGTCTGAAGCTGCTGAGGTCCTTTTCAGTGTTCAAGGACTTATAATTTTGCTCTTCCTTCTGTTTGCCAGCGTGCTTTAGGCTTCGTCTAACCTGTTATATTTTTCACTAGCAAGTGCTTTATGTTCTCAGGGCTGAGGGTGGTCTCTCCTTGTTGTATCCGAGAGGGTGAAAATACCCGTTTGACTTAGAATGCCTTTTTCCTCACGTAGAACCAGATGCTAAGTCATTCTGTTAGCTTCAATGGAGAAGGGGTGGAACCACCTCTATCCCTCTTGAAAACCTCTGTGAGAGTGAGTGTCTCCGGGATGGATTACCTGGAACGGCCAGACTTGGTTCGTAGGGACAGTACCACCCTGGAGAATCGTCCCGTTCTTGCATTGAAGAATGAAGTGCCAATACATCTCCTGAGTGCAACGAATCAGATACAGAAACCAGCTGCAGTCCAGCAGCAGATTCCTACTAAGCTGGCCACTTTTACAAAGGGAAGCAAAGAGAAAGGTGGGAAGAACAAAGCGTCTCATAGGACAGACAGTTCAGGTATGTGTGTTTAAATGCATTTCTGATCTCTGCCAGCATCACAGGGAGACGGAACACTGTAGTTTAAACCTCTGGCTACCGGTGTGGCACCCAGAAATTAGTATGCTACAAATTGTTAGTGTGCTTACTGCAGTTAGTAGGCTCTTAAAATCCTTAAATTAGGAGTTACATGTGTATACTATTTAAATTGGAAATGTAGCCCAAAGGGATGATGTTGAAAATGGAGTTCTGTAATCCAACAGTACAGAATGGTGGTAAGAATTTGTAAACCTGGCTGTAAAACCTTCTTGCCTAACTGTAGTGTTAAAGGAAAATAGCAAATGTTTTGCTTGTGCTGCATGAGTGAAATGTTTTGAGGCTGGCTTAACCTTACCTCACTATCTGTCCAGAGTTGTAATGACATTGAATGTAATGCCTTTCTTGGCACCAGTCAGTCATTAAATACATATTTCCAGGCCAGAATTGAGATGCTGTGTGTGTTGTAGAGTTGAAAGGGGTTAATTTTGTCAGAAATAGAAGCAAGTAAAAATGCAGTCACCCTGTCATAGTGTAATTTCTGCTGCTAACTGCTAGGTATTAAAGTAGTGATCTTTGCCAATGACAGACACAGTAAAAACCGCATTTTCTCTACCGCTTAAAATAGCCTTACTGCCAGCTTAGGAGAATGGCCTATAATTTTAAGTTACAAAATTATCTTTTTAGCTTTGTATAGGATTCAGGCTTGGCAAGCTTACCCGTCACTTGGGCCTACGCTACTATAGCAGACTCAGGGCCAAAGCCGTCTAGGGAGGGGAGGGGGAAAGTCTTTTGCACATTGTAGAAACGTCTGTCTCTGTTGTACCTAAAGTTTAGTACAATTGCAAACTTGCTTATGTTTTTGCACATAATGAAGCCTGATATCCTCTTACCCTGAATACCAAATGCTGGTAAATGGGAAAATAAAGCTCTAATACCACGTCTCCCCAAGTTTATTTTTAATAGCTCTTACATAATGATCTCTGCAGTGGAAATGTACTTAATGGTGTTTTTCTGGAATTTATATGAAAGGTATAAAACACAAATGTATTGGTCTCTGTTCTCTCATGAGCATTAGTGGGATTGCATGCTTGTTATGCCCATATGTAGATCTTAGAATAAACTGGAACAAGACTTTCTGTACCAGAGGCAAAATACTGTGTATTGAATTTGGGTTTTGTGACGTGTAAGGAATGTGCACTGAGGGGAGTTCTTTGGATCCAGAGTAACCATTTCATGAATTGCTTTTATTGTTGAAATTAAGAAACCGACAGGCCATAACACCAGAATCAGTGGACTCTGCCGCTGAGCAGCTGTGAGACAGATGGAGAGCGGAGACAAAAGTTCATCACAGTGCTGCGTGTTAAAAGTAGCGCAAATAGCCGCTGCTACTTGACTGCTAAGGACAAAGATTTTTTTTCTCTACTGTGCTTTATAATACTAGGTTTTAAATCTGTGATTGTCAGGGGCTGCTAGTAACTGAATTAGAAGTCCTCAAGGAAGAGGAGAAAGTATTCATGGTCTAAACAGCTGAAGAGAAAATTTAAGTTACTTGCAACAGAGGCATCAGCTCTTTGTGGTATAGCAGCTTCCTTGGATATGAAAGGTGTCACTACAATGGGCCCCAGCATGAAATAATGAAATTTGTGAAGTACTGCTAGCCTCAAATACTAATTTGTAAAATGTTTTCTGTAGCATCCGTTGATCAGAAGCAGCTGCTTCCCCCCAGGCTTGTTGGACGAGAGGAGGGTGTCCTGAGAGGCAGACGATCAGCAAGTCCAGTCCTCCCAAGCAGCCAGACCGCTGCATTCCAGCCAGGTATGTCTTGACCAACTTGCATGTCCATGGAAATGCATCAGCCTCTCTGTGCAGTGTCATGAATATGTCGTCTTCCATTTTTTTCTATAGAATTGTATGGCCCTACAGATGCTCAGCCGGAAGCACTTTCATCTGCCTCAGCGAACCTATTCAAACCCAATAACGTTCACGTTCAGACCCTGGTGACCTCTCAGCCAAGTCCGTTAAATGTGCAAGATGATACCAGCAAAGAAGATGTAATTTTCTTCTAATTGTTTCCATTTAAAGATTAATCTTCTGACACACTGTTTCAAGAACTCAGGCCCCAGTGTTCAACGTGACAGAGACCTGATATGGATGTCTTTTCATCCCTGCCCCGTTACTACTAGCAAGGACCAGACCAGGATTACTGTTCTACTTCGTTGGCTTCTCTGCCAGCAGCTCAGAATGAGGGCACAGTAGTAACAATTTGCTTTTAAATTCTCCAAACATGGAAATGTATTGACACGTGGCATGGGTATATAAATTCAGAGCGTATTAAAATACTGCCATTTATTGTAATTTGCTCTTTTCGGAGATTGTACACTCTTTGTGGGCACCATCTTATAAATTGTTATAGTTGATGTTGAACCACCCGGATTTTTATGTAAAAAGTTTTAGTAGTAGGCCCCAAAATGGCTGCAAATTTTTAAGTCCATTTTCACAGGTACATGGTCGGTAATGGATTATGCTAACAGTGTGTTGATAACTAGTTGACTAGCAAGCCAGTCTCCTTACAGCCAGGCATGACAGACACTGTGATACCCGCTCAGAGGAGCCAGACTAGCGTCTCTGTTTCTTTAGTGAATTCAGTGGAGCACATGCTCAGTGGTCAGGTACGGTGGAAGAGAGAAGGTAAGCTTCCTAACAGAGTCTTCATGGGTCAGGAGCTCCGCCTGCCTGTGGATGAGAAGGGTTGGACATGTGAGAATATACAACGGTAATGAAGAGTTGGACTAAATGCACATTTCATTGATCATCAGCTTGCACCGGGATACCTGTCTCCTTGGAGACATTGGGTAGCTCTGGGTAGCTCTCCGTCTTAGTGAGAGCGGTACAGGTTCCCAAGCAAAACTCATGAGTTGGTTCAGAATGAACTTAGAGACTTGGATTTTGTTCTTTGCTGAAGACATGTATAAGAAGCGTTTGAATGCAGTAATTTATTGTCTTGTTTAATCCTAAGTTTTCTGCATCTCTTGTTTGTCTGTTAATTTGTTTGGACTTTACTCCAAGTACCAGAAGATATCAAAGCTGCTGTTACTGCAGAGACTTCTCTGCAGCACTGTTTTAGGAATGAAGGGAATAAGAACTGTTTGGTTTTAAAATTAAAAAAAAAAAAATACTCTTAGCTAAACCTGTGTTGGTTTAGCTGCTTACAGCTAAACCAGCTTTGATACCTCTTGTTAAATGGGTCAGTTCTTAATCATGGAATGGTGATGACATTTAAGTGTTCTGTTCAAAAGGCATTATTTCCCTTTGTAGTAATTTGCACAGTCATTTTGTTGTATTCTATTACTTCACTCTGTATCTCAGTTCTTTATTACACACGTGGCTTAAGGATGTCTGTTCCAATATATGTTGAATGTGACCGGTCAGATATATTCTGCACAGGAGAGATTGTTTAGGGGGTATTATTACAGAATTGAAGAAATCAGTATCTCAGAGCTTAAAAACTTGGGTTAATACCTTTCAGAACATGATTGGTAATAGTTTTTTTTTCATATCTTTAACCCTGGTTTAAAGTGATTTTTAGCACCGATGGAGGGAGTACGTGGTCAGTTCTCCATCTGGTCACATGGCAATGGCATTGAATGGCAATTTGTCAACCTCATCAAATCATTGATGCTGTCTCAGTGGTTAGGCCCTATGTAACGTTAGTAATGTTCTTTAAGGCCCTCACTTCACTTTGCTTGAAAGTTTTAAAATTATTCCAGTAGTTACAGTGCAAGAAACATTATAAATTTTCAGCAGAAAATACAGAGTTTATTTTCAAGTGGTGATAATTTGGGTTATTGTCTTCAGACAAGAAATTGAAAAATCCAAATTTACTGGTCAGTGTGAGAGGGGAAAGGTAAGCTACAAAATGCTGAACTGGTCTTAGGGAGCAAGCGCTCCTTGCTCTAACACTTCTTGGATTTAAGGATCTTTTTCTTTGCTAAGTGATACTGGCATAAACCTGAAGCAATGGCACCGAGTTCAGCGAGAGGAAACTCCAAACCATCTGTCTTGTTGCCAGACTGGTGATAGTCCCCCACCCCCCAGCAAATTATTACTATGAAATTGGACACACTTCACTATAATACCAAAGGACTGCTTGGTCCTTTGCTACAAAATTATTTGTAGAAGGCTGAGGGAAGCAAGTGAAAAGGACAAATCATCAGCATTGCCGAATTTACACAGATTATCAGTGGCTAGATTTGCAGAAAACACTGTGGGGAACATAGCGATTTTTGCGTTGTTGTGATACGATGTTGGTAATGATTAGAACATAGTTCTACATTATATTCATTTTTTGCATTCCTAAAAGCGAGGTTGGAACGGAGGGGTGTTCTTCTTAAAATTAACATAACTTCTGATCAAGCCAGCATGTGAGACCCAGCAGCTCTGTAGGACTGATTTTTTCAGTTGGCTGGTGTGGAGACTCCAGTCATCTCTGATACCCGTGTAATTTCTCCTGTAAACATACAGTGAAGCAGCAAGAATCTGCAGTATGTTCTCTCCTTCGTGCTGTGGTTTGGGCCGTTCCTAGTGAAAACTGTATGCCCCCATTGCCTTAAATTACCAGGTTTTTAGGAGTTTTAGCCTAAAGTGAAGTTGCATCAGTGGAATAAACCACCCCAACCAAAGAGGGATGCCTCTGTTTTGGGTATTTGAAAACAGTTTTTGGAAACATTTATTTGGTTTAATTTTGTGCCTGTCCTAAAGTATGGGAGAGAGTGTTCTATGGACTGAAGGGGTTTATTTGGCTACTTTCTTCTTCTTCTTCTGTGCAATGAATGAACTCAGATACAGAACAGTGACATCTGGAAAATAAAGTCTGCAGTGAGGTCTCATTTCTTTTAATGTTTTAAACTTAAACATAACTGTTTTAATACTCATTGTCAGCAGTGCTTCGACTAAGTTCTGGCTGTTAGCAAATGGACACAGGACAGTTACAGGCTAGGCTGTTGGTTCAACACCCCAAAAGCTCCTTGGAATAGGGGTCTTCAATCTGTAACTGAGAAATCATCTTAAAAGTCCTCATCTGTCCTCAATACACACGTCTAGCTGCAGCTAGCTTTGCGAAAACTGTTTTCACCTTGAATAGAGACTGCATCTCTTTTCACTTGGGTCAAAATCATTTAAGTGCCACACTAGGTATTCACGCGGCTTCGTGTTCAGTACCATAGCCAGCGTGGAGAAGGTTTTAGAATTAGCAAATGCTGTGATATCTCATTGCTAGTGCGGAGTTTACCATACCAGAGTATGGTAAAATTATTTGTAGAAGGCTGAGGGAAGCAAGTGGAAGATTTTCTTAAAATGAATAATGGGTCATCTCTTCACTTCTGCAAAACTGAATCTGTGAAATTGTTATCACTCCAGCTGAGTGAACTAGTTTTGAACTCTTTACTCAAATCTCATTCCTAGAAAAGTAACTCTTCTAGGCAAATTAGATTGCAAAATACTGCTGTGTCCTGGGCTAAGTAACCTGCTACTGATTCTGAGTAATATCCTTTCCATTTGACTTTTTGATTACTTAAAAGTTTCCTTTTAAGTGATATCTGAGGATTAGACAGTTCAGAATTCTGTGCCTCCCAGGTGCCTTTTGGCTTCTTTCTGAGCTGGGGTGTGGAGGAAATTACAGCACGAGCTTTGAACTGCCGCCTTCTTTGCTTCGTGTCACAGCCTTAAAATTATTGTCATGTTTGTCCTTTTAATATTGTGATGTTGCAATGTAGAGGCTGTTTCTATGGTTCTGATTTTCAATTTTAACTCTGGTGTAAAGGATGCTTCCTCTTTCCCTTCCCATCCGGAATATGGTCATTTTGTATTTCAGACTGAGGATCCCTCCATGTTCGCTAGTACTGAGCACATCTGCCCTGTGTGTGTTGTAAATGCTTTCCTAGTTTTTAACTGTGCTATTTGTGGATTGTAGTTGTGGCATGTCCCACAAATTGAGATCGCTAATCATTTCCCAACGTGAGGCAGAAAAATTGGTATTTCTAGAGATGCTTGCTCATCGAGGTAATAGCATTCCTGCAGAGGTAGGAGCAATTCTAAACAATTTGCGGACGGTTTTGTCTTTCTGAGTAATAGTCAGATGATCCTGCATACGTGGAACTTGGTGTTTGTCATTTGCATTTACAATGAAAGTTCAAACTTAAACTAGGAAGGGGTTAAAAATACGTATTTTGTCTCACTTCTACTTTCAGCTCTGCAGAACAGGAGCTAGGGCTCCCCGGTGCTGCTCAGTGGAGTCCCTGTGTGTTGTGCCCCTGTGCAAGGGAATTTGGAGCGTTTTGTTGTCTTCCCCAGCAGTTCTCGCATTTACAAGAAAAAAAATCTTCTCGATGCCAGGTTACGCATGTGCTATCCTTGCCTGACCTTCTTGCTGAATAGGTAAAAGAAAAGCCTTTTCCCCTGCTCTCTCGAGGCCAGACCCAACATCTTTGTAACCACTGGCGGCTCTTTATCATTTACCATCAGCATGTTATTCATCAGATACAATTTGTGCGAGCTCTGGTTCATACCATTTGTGCCATGTTTATAAATCAGCTTTTTATATTTTTTGTACTGAAAGAAATGGGAGCACTTTAGAAAAGTTTATTTCAAATTCCATTTCTGTTTGTACCTGGAAGGAAACCTCTCATGAAAGTAGATCCTGTTGGCATAACTGCATGAATCTCACTCAGAGCTGTGAACTTTCTTCATGCTCTTTAGTCTTAGGTCTGGTTTCTAGGCCCACCTTGCACTGTAAAGATTTAATAAATAATCATGGTCCGTGGTTAAATTGACCATTTTGTTGGGGAAGCGTTCAGTTTTGTTTTTTGTTAGGGTGTAAACATTGTAAATAATTACTGTTGATACTGCAGTAGCAACATCTTTGTAGTCCTTATTTTATTTGTAAAGTTGATGGTTAAATGTTAATATTCTGTTGAATTGTGCACTCTTGATTAATTGTAAACTTGATCTTAGCACACCAAATGATGATTTTTACAATGATTGCAATGTTTCTCCACTGAAGGATTTCAGAGCTGCAATAGGACTGAAAGCAACTTCTAGCAATAAAAAAAAAGCATTTAAAAACTGACTGCCTTTATATAAAAATATATAAAAATTATTTATTATTTTCTATTTGAACCAAAGATCAAAGCAGCAGCCGCTTCTCACATGCTTCTCATTTTCTACCCTGGACAGAAATAACGTGCCATATGAACAAAACTCTGCTGGTTTTCCAAAGGAGAGGACGGAGCATAGGAGGCGTTAAGTGGAGGATACTAATAGCTGCAGACCTTGCCAGTGAGGTGAGCGCCCGAGGGAAAAAATCAGCTGCTCTCAAAATGTCTGAACTCAGCATACTAGTGAGAGAGTGAACTTAACAAAGTTGCTTATATTAGCACGTAGGTACTTTGCATGGTGCCAGTCTGAGACGTGCCTGGCTCTGTCCCAGACAGTATCGGTTCCCATTTGGAACAAGTGTAACAAAAATAGAAACTTTCTCCCTCCTGCTTGTGCCAATTTGGCAGCCCTGGCTCCCAGCCCCATCCCATAGCCTCTGGCTGGTGCAGCGCTTCCCAGAGTCCAGAGTCAGCAAGTTGCGTTTCCTGGTAAAATCCCCACTTGTGGCATACTGGCAAGCTAGCCCAAAAGCTGTAACCTCAAATAATTTCTGGAGATTAGAACAGATGCAGAACTGGGGAGAGAGGAGAACTGGGACTTGGATCGCTGCTCTCAAAGGAAGAGGTACGATTTTGAGCGTCAAAATCCTGGGCTGTAGCAGCCAGTGTTGAGGAAAACCCTCGGCCGGTTTTGGATGCGACAGTGCCAGTGGTGCAGTCTGGGAATCACGTTGCGCAGCGATAAGTCTCTGTATATCGCAGCACCTTTGGAGGACCCAGGGTCTTTGTGTACAGGGGTCAGTAGAATACAGTCTGCATTCGTCAGTCTCTGAAGTGCAGTTGACATCTGGGTTGCGGCACAAACTGGAACTCAATTGGAAAAACACAAGTTTTTCTACTTTTCCAACGTATGTAAATAATCAAAAGCTTCTAGGCACACCAGTGCTTAAAATATGACTTGATCTTTATGGGAAGTAAGACTGATGTGTTAGCGAATGAAGTTTTAAAGCGTGTGTGTGTACAAGCATTTGCTTGCACTTCCTTTAAGAGAATATTTCATACATCTGCTTCTGCTCCGTTCAGCTCCCAGGGAGCTGAGCCGCAGTGGCCGCTGGAGGTCACTGCCTCTGTGCGCCTTCGCGTCTCACCGTCTTTGTCGCTAGAGCAGGGCGAGTGACTTCATGTCCGTTTCTAAATATTTTTCAGCAGCAAGAAATGGAATCGAAGTGTGATTTCGGGGGGGACAGCTGAGAGGGACAGTCTAGGACAGAAGTTACGAGGAGCTGCTTCCAGAGCAGTGGGTTTAATTTTTATTTTCTAATTGCACTGTAGTCTCCTGCAGCCATAATCATGTGTCAGACCAGTAGGAATTGTTTCTAGAAAGACAGAAGAGCCTGGGTCAGGGAGATCCAGGGTTAACGTGGCCAAGAGGGATCCCTGCAGCCCCGATTCCCGCTGGGAACTGCCCGGTTGCAGCAGCCCAGAGCTCGGCAGGGGCAAGTTTAAATCTCGGGCAGAATTTTCATCTGTTAGAAGTTTGGTGCGGCTGCAGCCATCGGTGTTCAAGAGTGTGGATGTTTCTGTGTTACGCTTCAGTTCTTGCCGCAACAGCAGGGCAGACATTCCTTTGGTGATTGCAAACACCTTGACTGACAGTATCATTGATAACGCTGTCACTCGTCTATGAGACACATTCTCCGTTTTTCACAAGGAGGGTGTGATTTCAGGACGGATGGTGGTGCCTTCAGAGCTGTTAACTTGCTCATACCAGTATTCCAGCAGCTCCACCCTGCCTTGTCTCTCTTTAAAATCTGTAGCTAATTAACCCGAAACCCAAACCACATTCTTTCTATTTGGATGAATCATTCTGAGGCCATAGGCAATGACCAGCTTTATGCTAAACCTTCCTCTTTCATGTGGGTGAAACACGGCTGATGGTTCCCATACATGCATCTGAGATTCATCGGTAAGCCAGATGCTTGAAGACAAATATGCGCAAAGGATATTGGCTCCATAGTGTGCTCCGACAGTGGGAATGTGCTGTTTTCTGCATTTCCCTTTCCTCACCCCCGTGACTCAAATCCAGTTTAATTTCTCATCCCAGCGATGGGGCCAGCCCAAGGCTCAACAGACAAGGGATGTGGGGCCTGTCCTTGTGTGGTGCCTGCATTGTTTGCTGCTTCTGGGCCCATGGGAACTGGCAGAGGATAAAAGCCAAACTTTCTCAGAGCTGGCAGCGTTGGAGTGTGCGACGCGTGTTCCCTGGCTCTGGGACAGTGTCGCACGCACAGGAGGCTCAAACACGGCAGGGATCGCTTTGTTACGGGGCTCCATGCACACAGGAGCACGAAAAATCCTTGTTGAGCAGCACAATGTAGATGTGCCTTTCCCATGTCAGAGCAGCAGCTGGTGCCTTTTCACCGTATGGGGCACAGTGCGTTGCTAGACCCAAAGTTATCCCAGATGACTGCATGTGATATGCAAATTTTCAGGGGATTTCGGACAGGCAGATGTGTAATGTCCTTTTTCCCTTCTAAAACGTTTGAAGTCATCGACAAAATCACACTGCGTGTAGTTAGTGCTTTGTTTTTCCTGGGCTGCCATGGACCGTCATTGTAACAGCAGCGGGTACTCCAGTTCCTTGCTAGATGTGTGGTGGGTGTGAATGATCCACACCTGATCTTAGCCAGAAGAAGGGAATTTCTCAGTTACTGCTGTGCTGGGTTTTTTTGCAATTAACAGCACTGGCCGTCTACAGTGGAGAAGGGAGAAAGGCTGTGCTGCCTCGGCACCCTGGCAGCAGGGGCTGCTGAGCAGAATGCAGCTACGAACGCGAGAAGCAGCGTATTTCACTCAAAATCAGCACTGGTTGTAGATCTTGTGGCCAGGAGGGAGGTGGGTCAGCCTGACGCTGTATTTCTCCGGCTGTGGTGGCTTGCAGGCTTTGTGTGAGAAGAGGAACATCCCAGGGGAGAGCGATGTCACGCTTAGATTGTTTTGGCTTTGAGCCTAGTGAATGCCCGTATGTGTTGCCTCTTCCAGATGTGATGGTGGGCTGGGGTCTAGCTCCTGCAGCTGGAGGGGTGCAGCCATGAAGCAGGGTTCTGGGCTGGGAGGAGAGGCCTAGGTTTGAGCTATGTTGAGATCCTAATCGAATTCTGTTAATTCAGGAGGATTTCTATCCTAGTAACCAAATTAACCCCTAAACCAAATTCACCTGCAGCCCAGTCAGCCTAAATCTTCTGGCCCTGGCACTGAAGTAGTGATTGGATCAGTGCGTGGAAATGTCAAACTGGGAAAACAGGTCTGCTGGGGCAATGTCAAGCATGCAAAGAGAAAAAGGTGTCTAGTTTTCCCCAGGGGTGCTCCCGGCTGTGCTGGGAGCTGGTTCCTGCCAGGAGGAGGTGAAGCTGGAGGGACAGCGCAGGGTTTTCTGCCAGGTGAAGGAGGATGAAGGCAATGAAACGCAGCTCTGGCTGTCTTTGTTGCCAGCAGTGTGGAGCCGCCAAGCCCAGGTGTGCTTGAAGTGCCGGTTTTCCCTGAGAGGTAGTTAGCTGTAAGTACAGTTTGAAATGAGGAAGCAATTCACAGACGCTTGCAAAGGCTTCAGCAGCAGGGCCGCTCACTCCCCTGGCTGAAAATGCCGTGAGCGTGGCTCAGATAACATCCCAGCGCCAGGAGCAGGAGGCAGACAGAGACCCATGTTGCTAGAAGCAACTTTGTCCCTGGTGCAAAAGCCGGATGTGGCCGGGAGCCGACGTTTATTGCTTGGCAGCATAAATAAAACAGCTGCTGCTCAAACGGCCGTGGATGAAACCTCCGCTCCCCTGACTTGCCGAGCGAAGTCGGACTTTGTCTGACCCTCGGGAATAGCTGTAGATATAATAAAGGTGAAGCGGCTCCCTGCTCGCTAGCAGGGATGGAGATGCTTCCTGCTGGCTTCCAGTCCCAGCCGTGTCCTGTGCTGTGACTTTCCCCTGGGCTGCGAGCTTTGCTTGCCTGCCTGCGCTCACGTGTGCGAGCGCGGCCAAGCTGGGAGCTGCCCCACGCTCCAGCTGCTGGATGGTCGGACCCGATGATCTTAAAGGTCTTTTCCAACCTAAATGATTCTGTGGTTCTATGCTGCTGCCTGTGGTGCTCCAGGCTGGGTTTGCAGGGCAGGCTGTGGGCTCGTTTCCCTGCCGCCTGGTGCACAAACCTCCCCTTGGGCTCGGCAAGCGATGGAGAGGCGGCACAGCAAGGGTAAATGAGAAAAGGCCCAGCCTGGGGGCTGAAAATGGCAGAGGCATCAGAAAACAGGATGGAAATGAAGTCGGTTTATCTGCTTCAGCCACCAGCAGCAGGGCAGCTTGCTTCCTTCCAGTCTTGCCAGTTCTTGCCTATACTAGCAGCGAGGAAGGGTTGTGACATTGATTTATTTAACTCTGAAATTGAATAATGGATCACACCCAAACCCATGCTTCTGTGGTGAGACAGTTGGTTGCACCTTTGGTGCCTGTTTCCTCTGACCGTGCTGATTCCTGTCTCATACCTCCCACCCTTAACAGAGCTTTTCCTTCCCAACCACTGCCCCCACCATCACCTGCAGCAGGGCCCGGAGCACACAGCCCTTGGGGAGAGAAGTGGCAGCGCCTTCCTGCAGTTTTTTTGGCAGTGAGGAAACCCAGCTCCACAGAGGATGACCAGGTAAGGGCAGAGAAAATCTTTGGAGTTTTAAACAGTTTTGTGTGTCCTTCAAAGCTGGAAGGCAGTACAGAACCTGAGCTTTCCCCAAGTCCTGTGTTACAAAGATACAGGAAGATCTGAGCCCTCTCTGGCCGATGAAGGTTTGGACTCTCAAGCAGGGAACGCTCTTCGCTGTTTTGCTAAACGTTATCTCAAGCGTGGGCTGGGAAAACTTGCAGCTTAAGCATACAGAACAGGCAAGGGACACGGTGGATTTTATTCAGATTTATTGAAGCAGCTCCAGGCTGAGTAATAAACACACACAACTGCTGTATTAAAAAAAAAAAAAAAATGTACAGAACCAGCCCATGGGCAAAGTACTGTCACGTGTCAAGACATTTCAGGCAACTGCCTCCGGTGCTGCCTGCATTCCAAGTCACAGCAGACAGCAGCGCAGTCCAGAGCCTGCTGCCAGTGACTTAGGAGCTTCCTTTGTCTTTTCTAGTAAATATCACTTAAAATATTCAATGAAAGAAGCAAAAAGTATTCCTCTGGTTCCTGCTCTGAGCTCACACGAGTTAGGAGAAAACTTGGAAACCTTTTGCCGTCTCAAGGGACAGCACAAGCTGCCAGTCCAAGGAGGTCCCTCTGTGCTCGTCCCCTCCCTGGCCTGAAGGACAGGGATTTACAGAAGCAGTTCAAAGCCAAAGCTGTGTTGCCGTGAGCCCTGCTGATGCTACGGAGATCCACGCAAGGGCTGGCATCCAGGCCAGTTCACAGGCTTGCTAGGTAGGAGGAGGCGCTCGTACTGCCCACGGCTTCTGTCTGGATCCGCGGTGAAGTGAGACACTGGCAAAATCGGGTGCGAAGCCTGTAGTGCAGAGGAAAGTATTGTGAGACCAGTGTGCAGCAAACCCGAGAACACTCCCCAGGCCTCAAAACCTCAGACGCTGCTATCGTGGAGTGACAGCTCCTTATTTCCCCCTACATCCAGGAATCTTCCATAGGTATCGCAGGATATTTTATTGCAAGTTCATTTGGGTAGTACATCTCTTGCAAGGGGAAAAGAAAAAAAAACCTGCAGGGATCTGTGATTCGCTGGCATCTTTTCTGCCAAGAGCCTTTAGAAAGGTTTAATTCCAGTTGCAAATTTTTAAAAAGTTAATCGCTGCGTAGCAGGAAAGAAATGGCATGAAAAGGACACCAGAGAATAATTAGAAGCGGAGGAACCCTGTGTTTATATGTAGACAGGGCTTGTCTTACAAATGCAATTACCAACCATTCTGGGACTAAATCCCAGCTATAATCTTGTTCTGGCACCAGCCCTCACGTCCCACAAGACATTTGGGTGCCACTAGCAGATTAACCGTGGCACCAGGAGGAGGAGGCCGTGCTAAAAGCAGCAGCAAGTCCCCCGTGGCACCGCGCGGTCTATCCCAGCTCCTGCAGACAGGCTGCCTGTTAACTTAATGATCGACTCGACGAGCTTTCTGTACCAGGGACGACACCCAATCCTCCTCACAGAAAGCATTCCCCAAAATCTTTGCATAGGCCAAGACTCAGTGGAAGGGCTAGGATGCCAGGTTAAGCATCTTGTTATTTATACTAATCTTCTCCCCTCAGCATTTCAGCACCTAAAGAGACGTTCTCTCTCCTGCAGGGTTTTAGATCCCAAACTACCAGCCTGGAAGCACATTTCTGGAGCTGATGCTCGCACAAGGCTGTTCTCTAGGACAGCTCCAGTCCAGATCCACGTGCATCTGCCCCTCGGGGTTTAACCCCTGTGCAGCACAAAGTTATATAGAGGAGCTCTGGGTTGATCCACAACTAGTTACCTCCCAGGTTCTTCGCCACACGGTGACTCAGGCAGACAGGTACTTCCAGGTGCTGACGAAGGCGGTGGGGATGAGGGAATAAGGCACTGTCGTGACGCTGCTCCAGGTGTCAGACGATGGGTCGTAACAGTCCAGCGTTTTGCAGCGCTGAGCCCCGCAGTAGCCCCCCACCACGTACAGTCTGTTACCCGACGTAACAGCACGGCAGCTGATGCGCTTAGCGGTGACGTCCCCAAATTTGGACCACTGGTAGGTGTCACTGTGGAAGCGGTAAGCGGAGCTGGCGGAGAACTCCGTGTCCCCCCCGATGACAATGATGTGGCTGCCCACCACGGCGGCGGCCCGGTTCTGGCAGGGGTCAAAGCACTGCACCTTGGGCAGCTTCTCCTGGTTGGCGCTGGTGCCACCGAAAACAAACAGCTTCATCTTGGCTCCCACCACGGCGGCGTTGCTTACGCCTTCTCGGAGAGGGGCCACCAAGGACCATTTGTCCAGCTGCGGGTCGTAGTGTTCGACTTGCTTGAGAGAGACGGAGGGAGAGGCCGGGAAGGCACCGCTCACTGCTGTGTGACCCCCCACCACGTACAGACAGTGGTCCAGCTCAGCGGAGCCGTGGCCAAACCGCGCCACCAGCATGGGAGCAGCTTTTGCCCACTCGTCGTGGAGGGTGTCGTAAACCCAGACGTCTTTGGAAGCGCCGTTCTCGGAGCCTTTGCCGCCAGTGATGTACACTTTGCACCCGATAGCGCAGGCACTGCACTCTTTACGAGGGCTTGGGATGTCGGCACGAGGAATGATCTCGCTGGTTTTATGATCCAGCATATAAATCTTGTCGCACATGAAGGTCTGGCCACCGAGCAGCAGCAGGGCCTGGCTGACCTTGCGCGGTCGGGCACAGCACCCTGTCACAAGGCCGTCGTTTTGCAGGATTTTCATTTTGCATCGTACGGCGTCGGCCACGATCTCCTCCCCCAGCTTGTGGCTGGTCACCAGCTTCTCGCAGGCCACTTGCTTCCGCAGGTAGGACTCGGGCAGGAGGGCCAGGCGGACGGAGCGCAGCAGCTCTGGCAGAACTTCATGGCGTCGGGGCAAATCGTACCGGATCCAACCTATAACAGCTTCGTAGACCAGCGTCTCATCCTCTACCTCCAGCTCTTCACTCTCCACCAGCTCCAGCAGCTTGTCTTTGGGCAGTCGGAGGAAGTCTTCGGTCTTGCAGAGCGAGGTGAAGTTGGCCAACGCCATCCTCCAGGACAGCTCCAGCAGCCGCTCGCAGCAGTGGGCATCGGACAGCAGCAGCATGTTCAAGCAATTCCCAGGGTAGAGATTCTTCTCCAGAAAGTCGGCCGAAGCATCCCGAATATCCTGAAACTGCAACATGTCCCCAGCCTCCAGCAAGGACTCCGCGTTCTCCTCGTTAATCAGCACCCGGGCCGAGTAGGCGTAGTCCAGCAGCAGCTCCAGCACCTCGGGGTGGAGGGAGTCGTGGAAGTTGACTTCGGCGTCTCTGCTCTCTTTCAGGCCCCCGCTGAACATAGCGTCGAAGTAGCGGCTGCAGGAGGCCAGGACGGCCCGGTGGCAGTGGAAGGCCTGGTTCCCCGCCCGCAGCACCACGTCGGTGAAGAGGTGCCGCTTGCGGAGCAGGTTGAGGTGGGTGAGGAGGCTGTCGGCGTGGCCCGGTTTGTGGAAGAGGTGGATGTTCATGGAGCCGGAGCTCGAGCGGGATTTCCGGTTCTCGTGGCTGCTGACGGACATGGTGGGGAGGCCGCTCTGCGAGGGAAAAACCGGGGAGTCAGTAGGGAAAGACCGGCAGCGCCGTCACCGGG